CAAGAAAGCCGACCGCCCAGAAAGCAATGGCAAACTACTGGACGTAAATTGCCTAGAAAAACCACACCAGGTTGTTTCTGCAAAGTCTTGTGAAGGTTACACAACTAACCTAACCGTATCTTTGATAATTCGCTGTCCATGTTTCTTCCTTCTCCTGTCCGTTTTCTTCCTTCTTATCTCCCCCCTGCCCGCTCCCCTTCCAAACCCGGGCTTCTCCTGTAGGGTTAACCACCCATCGGAGTCAGAACCTGGGTGTTGAGGTGACTTTAGCCTTCCCTTCCCTACCTCACATCCCTTTTGGGGGAAGAGGGTTTAATTTTGTAAGGTGACAAAGGGGCACCCTGTAACCAGGGCCGTCTCAACTCATTGGCCTGCTGGGCCCTTGTCCGGGGATTGGGGGGGGGGGAGGGGGCGTCGTGCACTGGGACTTCAGTCTAATCGATGTATACATAGTGACTTGTCATCAATGCAAATGTATTTAAAATTTAAATGAAATGATATTCAACTTTAAGCCTTTTAAACTCACACAGTGTGTGTATAAGACAGCTGGAGTAAAGAATGTGAAGACAAAGTAATTAACACTGTCTTGAAACGTGAACAGCGCAAGTGCCAGTTTGTAAAATGTGAATAGTTTCTCCAGCGTTTCTCAAACTAGGGGCCGCGACATCGGGGGTGCCGCGAGCGTATGCCATAGGCTGCCGTGGCAATAATTAAGACAAGTATTCTCCCTAAATCTGCTTCAGATTAGGGAATGCAGCAGTTTGAAACAGAAATACCATGAAGGAAGCCAAGAAGAGTTCTGGATGCAGGTGTAATCAGAAAACAATACTATTGATAAGGCTGCAGTGCGTTCTTAACGTACTCTTACCCACACACACACACACACACACACACACACACACACACACACACACACAAAATACAGGATCAGCCTTCAAATTATTTGGCGGTACAATTAACTAAACTTCTCATAAACATTAAGGAAATAATGAAGAATTCATCTAAAGTTTCATTCATCGCATCAAAGACAGCTGAACATTATAATTGCAGTGTTTTTCATCTTGTCGTAAATATTCAAACCTCTTTAAGGGTAGGTGTACTGCGAATTAATTTTTTACCCGACAAACATTCCGCGGTGAAAACAAAAATGTGAGAAACGCTGAGTTACTCTACTGACCATTTCAAGGTTGTTTGTACTGCTTTGGCTATCGTTAAGAAAGCATCTTTCTTTGCTACAGCGCTGTTCATTGATTGGGAATATAGCAATGTTATTATTGTAGAACATTAAAATGGAGAACAGCGTTAAAAGTGCATGCCAGCATATGGCTCCTAATGAAAACTGAGCCATAGGAAATTGGAAATGTAGATTCTCTGCTACTTAAGCGACATTGCTCAGTACAGGATTGTTGGCAGAAAGTGTTGACACATCAGGTTTCTGTAACTCGCTTTCTGGCCTCCAGAGATTTGCCATTTCGTGAGTAAAATCAGATCTTGGGTCATTACAAAATTACTGATATTTAGAAATATTATAGCTACTATCGAATTGAATTGTACGGATCTGAAGCAAGTTAAAGAATTTAATTATTTAGGAAGTATTTTCTAGGAAGACGGGAGACTAGATTGAGAAACAGAAACTAAATGCCAACAAGCCAGTGCACTAATATACCAACTGACAACGTCATTAGGACTTTCAAACATAGGTATGAGTGCTAATAAAAACAGATTATAAACGGCACTTTCATACCAACACTTTGCTACCAGTGCCAGACTTGGACACTATCAAAGGCCAACCTACGTTAAATTAACACATGTGAAATGAGATGCCTGAGAAAAGCTATTAATTTAACCATCCGAGACAAAGTTAGAAATGATATTATTAGACACAACACCGTGGAGCACTTCTGTTCATATTTTGACTTTGTCCCGCACTTCTGTTCATATTTTGACTTCGGCCCGCACTTCTGTTCATATTTTGACTTTGTTCCGCACTTCTGTTCCTATTTTGACTTTGTTCCGCACTTCTGTTCATATTTTGACTTTGTTTCGCACTTCTCTTCATTTTTTGACTTTGTTCCGCACTTCTGTTCATATTTTGACTTTGTTTCGCACTTCTGTTCATATTTTGACTTTGTTCCGCACTTCTGTTCATATTTTGACTTTGTTCCGCACTTCTGTTCCTATTTTGACTTTGCTCCGCCCTTCTGTTCATATTTTGACTTTGCTTCGCACTTCTTTTCATATTTTGCTGGCTCCACTCATCGGTGGAATGTACTGACATCATATTTAAGAAACGATATTGTGGATGAGGCTGTTTTGACGCTGTTCATGTTCTACATGAAGGTTTAGAGTAAATAAAACACGCACACCGAAATGTTCAAGGTGGAAACGTCGCTACCTATTCTGGGCATGCTCATCTTTAATTGACAATAAGTAAGGGACCCTTTTCCATACCTTTAGGCGTATAGGGCATATAGGGCTAGACTTATATGTTTATAGACCAATCGGCACAAGATGAGTGATGCCGTCAGCAACACGCCGGCCGCATTTACATCCCGGGACTGCACCCGGTACCCACTCAAGGCTGGGTCGACCTGGGAGCCAAGGTCATTTTTTTGAAAAAGTCGCCAGGGAGCTTACCCACGACCATCCGATCCGCGGCGAGCGTCTAGCGGTTCGGCCACGCCGACTCCCATCGACAATAAGTGCGGAGGTTTATTTAGAGATTGAAAAAGATCTTGTCTTTATTCGGTAAATTGAAAACAATTTCTTCCGATGCACTAAAGAACAAGTGAGAACATATGCCTAATGTGTAACACGTAGACCGGAATCAATGTTGACCTTTCACAGGAATTTGAGTTTCCCGAACAATCTGTTGATAAATTACCTTCCCAAACTAGTCACGACTTACATTGGCAAGGCTCTACACACAGACCACTTGGACATAAGGACCCAAGCTGAATACATAGAGGGAAAAAATACTAAAATGACAATGCAGGAAGTTATTATTACAGTTAAGAAATGAACTACCCGGACCTATGAAAGGATGCTTGCCGCTCTGCATCAAGCATGCTTGTTTCCACCTTTCTCAAAATGCTCCGTGGTTGCATGACAGTTTTACAATTACGACATGTGTGTACAGATGATTCTTAACCATCGGAGAGCAACAGTGACTACCTTCATATCCATTTTAAAACTAATCGTTGTGATATCAAATGCCAGGATTTGCTGCTTAAACCGACCTCCATTAGATTTTGCCATGAATCCCCATGCACTTCGTCTGCCTCTCAACACAGAGCCATGTATACATATAATCATATAACCTGGGCTGGAATTTTCATGAATGCTTTGTTAAACTTTTGATTCTACAGCAACAGCTGGAAAGTCCCATCACTCACGACCTAAAGTGATTAGAACACTATACAGATCTGATTCTTGCGCGGATACTTTGATCCACTCCTCTCCTCACCTAAATTTATCTAACCTAAACACATTTATAATTGTGCTTTCAGCCTACGCCATTCACGAAATTTCTCTTTTTAGTCTGTGACCCTTATCTTTTACCCAGGATTTCATGCAAGAGGTGCTTTTTGTTTACAGCTACTCTAAGATAAGACTGTGATTGTAGAACTGTGAGCAAATCTGAAATAGTAGGCAGTCCAAGTATATATTGCATACATACTACCGGGTTATCTTTTGTACATCCGAGAATTACCCGCATGGCTTCATTCTGTATGCGTTGTAACTGATTCAGAAAGCATGCTGAGGAAGATCAGAACAGGCATGCTTCGTGCAGAGTGGCATGCTTCGCTGCGGAGGACACGGGTAAGAAGATTTTTTTTCACCAGGGCTCGCGGGTGTGTTGGGAAATGAACAGGCGGGTAGACTGGCTGGCTCTGCACAACTTGGTGGAATACTGATACATGATAAGGCAGCCGTGGTTAGTGCTTGTGGGAGAGCGTGTACGGTTTGGAGGAGCAGATTGATCACCACAGTCTGGTGAGACTGATGCAGGGGGGCAGTGACTAGAGGTTCTAGCAGATGCTCAAAGCTCAGAAGAAAGGCAAAGCGGACGTTTAATCAGAATGCTACTGGCACCACTAATATCGGAACTCTTGGCTGGCTGCTGAAGATTGGAACGGAACGCTTATGGGAATGCCCCGAGTGCTGTGATGTGCGTTCTTGAATCAAATCAAATCAAATCTGTATGCGTTCAAGTTTCATCAGCTGGCTCTCTATTGTGGTAAACCTTCCAGGTCCATACTCTGTCACCGACAGGATCATCCAGGTCCATACTCTGTCACCGACAGGATCATCCAGGTCCATACTCTGTCACCGACAGGATCATCCAGGTCCATACTCTGTCACCGACAGGATCATCCAGGTCCATACTCTGTCACCGACAGGATCATCCAGGTCCATACTCTGTCACCGACAGGATCATCCAGGTCCATACTCTGTCACCGACAGGATCACATGTTGGAACATTGTCAACAGCATAATTTGTTTCATGTCCATTGCTGCCACTCCTTTGGGCAAATTGGGAAAATAGTGATAGACTCACATTTTCAGACCAATCAGCGCTACATGGGTCCTGTAAACAACATCACACCGACAGTCTTTACATCCTAGGATTTTACCTGGTACCCATTTCAGTGTTGGTGGACCTGGGAGCCAAGTTCGTTTTTGAAAGAAAAAAATGTATGTCTCCATTCGGATCCTAACCCATGACCTTCGGATCCACAGACGATTGTCTACCCGCTTCACCATGAAGGCTCCAAATATCTGGACATGCAGTATATCAAATCAAGAACAAAGAATGAACAAAACAAATATCGCAAGAGGCTGTTGTTTAGTTGTTTTTTTTTTTTTTTCATCACCATTTGCAGACACGCGTACGACAGACATGATTCTATGATTCTGTTGACTAGGTAGTCCCGGGTTTAGTGGACGTGTCTGGCTTAACAAAGGTACTCGAGATGATCTTCTTCTGGTCCTTGAAATCACTGCCGTTTGTATGTTGATTCAATTGTCTCCCCTTCGATCGTTATTAGCTGAAAAGTACACGACAATTATACTCAAACGAATTAGTTTTCCTTCAGAGTCGGAGGGCATCTATCGGAGAGGCAATAAACCGACAGTCTGTACACACGTAACCCAGATCTGTAAAACGGATTTACAAGCAAAATTCGAGGTCCGAAACAAGACTAAAGTCTAGAATCTATACAGACGGATCCGTTATACGCCAAAGAAGAAGCGCATGGGCATTTACAGCACGCTCAGCGGGCAGAACAGTCAAAGAAGCCAACGGCGCCTTCTCCATGACAACCAGCAGCATGACGATGGAGGTGATGGCAGTGACACAAGCGCTTGCCTGGCTTGAAACACAAAAATACACCCGCGTGTGTATACTCAGTGATTCAATGAGTATGATCCGGAGGGTTCAGGCAGGTTCAGTGCGAAGACAATGGCTTGAATCATTACAGAAGTCCACTGTTCGTGGAGTCACCTTTATTTTTGTTCCGGGACACGCAGGCGTCGATGGAAATGAAAGAGCTGACAGGTTGGCTGGATCCGCTATCACTACCGACGGTCAGCCTATGGATCATGCTGATATTATCAATGCCCTCAGAGAAATGGGAAGGATAGAGGACTTTGGTGGCAGTGAATCCACATCACTCGCCAGAATGGCAGACTTCGGAATTAAGATCGGCACAGCAAAAAACGAGACGCACACCAGCTACGCCAGAAGACTTGTTAATCAACATAGAACTGGTACTATTAGCCATCGGACGTTGGGGTTCATACTGAGGGGAGGATCTGAGCACCTATGGACATGTCCGGAGTGCAATGAGGATAACCCAACTAACTAACTAACTAACTAACTAACTAACTAACTAACTAACTAAGTCTAGAAGTTGGCCAACAACAAAACTGTTGGGCGTAGTTAACAGCCTGTGAACTCTAAGAAAGAAAAGAGCAACATGAGAGACTATGTTTTTGTCACACATTATATATATTTTCCTCATCATTTTCATCATATTCACCATTATCAACATCATCATTAATATCATCATCATGTTTCCTGTAGTTAGGCATAATGGTAATGTTTCGCCATCTCACACAATCACCATATCACGGACCAGGTCAGTGCTCCATGTTGTATGCGATCATTATGGTTTGTATAGTTAATAAAGCCAGGGCTTTGTTAAGTATGGGTACACATGGGAATTCGTGTTATGTTAACGTGTTGTGAGTAAAAACATTTGGGCTACTTAAATTTGTGAAACAGATGATGCTTGATATTCAATGGTGATTGAAAACTCCCCGAGTTGTGTTGGGAATATGAGATTCACGTGTAGCTGACCGCTGTTGACGACAGTGCGTGGTATCTGAGCCAGTCAGCTTTTAGTCAGTCAAAGTGTGTGAACGTGTGCGCGAATTATTGAAATCCTATGGACGAGTGGATTTTCAGTGTTGTGGTTTTAATATGTTTTGATGGTTTGAACAACGGAACAACATCATGGTACAAGGGTAGTAACCCATAAATGCTCCGTTCTACTTCCAGTTCAAGCGTGAGTCTGAAGAATCTCAGTGCAGTGCACGAACTCCGTAGGATCGGCGAGGATCTTGTGCATGATTTATTTTGATGAAGCTCAGGTAAACTGTTCAGATGACTGTGGTGGATCATGAGTAAGACTTAATGATTCAATCAGTGATTTTCGAGAATGAACTTGTGTCAGCCCTGTTGCGGCTATGTGGCACGCTGGTTGATGGGATATCCTTAAGCGCTACAGAAGGTCAGGGGTAACTTTATGTGTGTTAGACAGTGTGGAGTTGTGATGGGGAGGTATCAGGAAAGCTGGTTAACCGGAGGTTGATCAGTGTTACAATGACTGAGTTGCAGACGGGAGGTTTGGATTCTGTTTACCAAGAGGTGTATCTACCCTGAGCCCTGGGGTCGCAGGGTCTCTTAGATAGAGAACAGTAGGAGGGTTTTCACTACCTATCACGTAGGTGTATCTGTGCGATCGGGCGTGAGTCGCTCGTGGCAGACACTTTGTAAATTTTCGCTAGGATGTTTTGTCTACGTTCTAGAGACTGTCAATATGGGTGTACTTGGCAGGAATAGTAGACTGACAGTGATTCATTGATCACTAAATCATCTTAGTCGCAATGTGTTCGTCCACAATAAAGAGACTGATCGCACTATAAGATAATACTTGGCGTGGTTTAATTATTTAATGCAATTACTGCTTAAACTAGAAGTTAATCCTATTCTGATCCGCTGGATTGCTGCGGTCCTGTTCCAGAGAAAGATTGTACTAAGATGTGGTAGCTGGTTCTCAGAACCGCAAACGATATGTCCAGGCTTGCCACAGGGATCACCGCTATCACCAGTCTTATTCAACGTTTATACGGTGATGATCACTGAGCAGCAGTTGAATGGAAAGGGAAGGACTTTGTCATTTGCTGATGACATTTTGATTTATCGACGAGGGTGTGATAGACAAGAGATCGCCAGCACTATGCACAAAGAACTCGATCGAATTGCCGCCTGGTGTGATGGTTCCAATGCCTATGTCAATCCTTCGAAGGCATTAGTGTCATGGTTCTCTTTGAGCAATCACATTGTCAAGTCGGACTTACCAGAAGTGAAAATGCGTGATAATGTTTTGATCAGAACCAACGTTATGACGTTTCTCGGGGTGAGGTTCGATCGCAGCTTGTCATTCAGGGAACACGTTGACCATGTGATAACAAAAGCACGCAAAGGTCTATCTGCAATGAGGATTATGGCTGCTTCCAATATTGAGCAAAGACTACTAATACTTCTATTCTACGGTCTGGTCCTTTCCCCCATTGAATACGCTCTGGCCATCCTCACTGTCAGTGCTACCCAGATTGAACGACTCGAAAAGGTGCAAAATGAAGCCATGCGCATTATTTTGGGATGTACAAGAGACACATCCTGTGGAGCAATGAGGTATCTACTTGACTTTCCAACAATGAACCAAAGGATCAGGATGTGGAGGGCTCGGGCATATCTCAAAATATGTGCTGATAAGAAACACCCACTGCATCAAGCGCTTTTTAGTGAAAAGGGCGACAGACTGAAGAGGGAAAAATCATGGCTAGGTCGGGCAGAAAATGTTATTAGGCAAATATGCAGCCTAACCGACATCATACCTGGTGCAGAATGGATACCTGTGCCTCAGGCTTTTATTTGTACATTTTTCTGAATTGTCACACTCAACAGGCGATGTAGAGAAGATAATCCAGTTGCTGTTAATGCAGAGGTCAACGCTCTCATCGGTGAAAATTCAGACGAAGCAGATGCAATAATCTATACAGACGGATCCGTTATACGCCAAAGAAGAAGCGCATGGGCATTTACAGCACGCTCAGCTGGCAGAACAGTCAAAGAAGCCAACGGCGCCTTCTCAATGACAACCAGCAGCATGATGATGGAGGTGATGGCAGTGACGCAAGCGTTTGCCTGGCTTGAAACACAAAAATACACCCGCGCATGTATACTCAGTGATTCAATGAGTATGATCCGGAGGGTTCAGGCAGGTTCAGTGCGAAGACAATGGCTTGAATCATTACAGAAGTCCACTGTGCGTGGAGTCACCTTTATTTTTGTTCCGGGACACTCAGGCGTCGATGGAAATGAAAGAGCTGACAGGTTGGCTGGATCCGCTATCACTACTGACGGTCAGCCTATGGATCATGCTGATATTATCAATGCCCTCAGAGAAATGGGAAGGATAGAGGACTTTGGTGGCAGTGAATCCACATCACTCGCCAGAATGGCAGACTTGGGAATTAAGATCGGCACAGCAAAAAACGAGTCGCACACCAGCTACGCCAGAAGACTTGTTAATCAACATAGAACTGGTACTATTAGCCATCGGACGTTGGGGTTCATACTGAGGGGAGGATCTGAGCACCAATGGACATGTCCGGAGTGCAATGAGGATAACCCAACTAACTAACTAACTAACTAACTAACTAACTAACTAACTAACTAACTAACTAACTAACTAACTAACTAACTAACTAACTAACTAACTAACTAACTAACTAACTAACTAACTAACTAACTAACTAACTAACTAACTAACTAGCTAACTAACTAACTTGGCGTGGTAGGGTATATTACATCCTTTTTGGGTAGTGTTGGTTTCTACTACGACAGGATATGTAACCTGTGCCAGATATATTGTGGTCGTTAACAAGGTATTTGTGCCTGAATTATTAAAGTGCTCTTATCTGGGTTGGCATTTCTTTACTCCAGCAAAAATCACTATCAACATGTGATGTGCAAATGAAAGTGGGCGGCCATGGTTCATCCGTTGAGGGAGCCGAATGTGTATGTGTGAAGTACTGACATTTATAAATAGATTCATTAGATACTTGGCAGTCCTCTGAAAGTACTGGAGAGTTTTGGGAAGTGTCATTCTGGTCTCAAGACACAGTGAAGTAAAAACCCCAACTGCACCTCCACGCGGTAGAGGACGGTAAACACACTGCGGTGTGACTAACGCAGCTATGGGGACCGAGTATCCCCGGGGATAAGTGGAACCTCTGGTGTGCCCTCTGCTGTTAGAACGAGCATCACAGAGCAGGGCACTAACTTGCCCTAGCAATTGAAAAGGTTGCTGAAGGCTGAGGACATGGTCTAAAGCCATGTGGATGTGGAAAGCAGCGGGAAATTACCACATTACTATCCCAAGAAACTTCGTACCAGGAAGGAGGGGCAGGGGCCGACCGACACGAAGATGGGCACGGATATAAGTGACTCCTTGAATGTGAAAGTACATGAGGCAGGAGAACTGGCGAGAGACCGAGTTTCTTTCAGGCAGACTGTGATGAGATCGAATTTCTGCAGAGGCTTACTTTAAATAAAATACAGGTTATCTCTTTAATGATTATTTCAATTTTTATAGAAATCATCTCATTACTTAATTGTCGGACCTTGTACAACAAAATCAGCAGGGGAAAAAAGATGAGCAGAGGCATTGTCAAAGAAATCTGTTTGCAAACCTGGATATTTTCACCCCATAATTTCGTAAATCAATCCTACGTCCTTTTTATGACGTAATATTTTCTTTTTTATTCAAAGTAAGCCTCTTGTGCATTGATACAGCAAGTGGCACGATCTAAAAAACACTGGAACGACCTCTGTAGTTCTTCTATTATTATGGCCCTTAAAGTCGATGTTACGGCCCTTTGGATGCCATCATCATCGTCAAAGAAGCGTCCTTTCAATGGTAACTTTAATTTTAGGAGTAGAAAATAATCACAGGAAGTTTCATCCTCTGCAACAATCAAATGTAAGAAATGTTTATTTCTGTGACCTGTTTTGATTTTTTTCTTTTTTTTTTGCGTACTCAACACGCTGACGTTTTTAGTCATCAGACAACGTATGTGGTACAAAACGGTATGCAACTTTTTTCTTGACCAAATTCTTGCACTGAAATTCAAAGAATGGTCTCTCTATTAATACAAAACTCATCTACATTCATCCTCACAGTCAAAGAACGATCTTCTTGTATCCGTTCTCTGACTTTTGTTGTGAGTTCCTCACCACGAATAGAAATGGGGCGTCCAGGACTAGTTGCATTAGTAATCATTTCCACGCTATTTTTGAGTCATGAATACAACTTTAAAATCTGTGCACGAGATTAACCATTATCCCCATGAACTTGTTGCATCAATTCAACTGTCTCAATGGTGCCTTTTCTAAGTTTTGAGCAAAATTTATTGTTAGTTTCTTGCTCCATGCTGATTACGTAACCATGCACATCTGACTAGGTCAACAGAATGGCGGTTTGTTTGTTGTCTGCTTATCGGGGGACGATGAAAAGTTGCCAGATCATAGGTTGCCTCTTTGGATTCGATGCTTTGCTTCGTAGATGGGATTTTTATATTGGCCATAGTAAAATCAGTCTCATTACCTAATTGACGGACCTCATATGTATGAAGTATGACAAATGACTGACCGTAAAAATGTGCCTAGAAAAACCACAACAGGCAAAAAATGCTGGGGTTGGTTCTACAACGGCCTGTAAAGGATACGCAACTAACTAATGTTTGAAGTACTCTTATAAAAATTACCTGTTTAAATAATCACATGGAAATAAGAATTACATTATTTTATTTCACAGACATTCTTACATAAATAGTTTCAATTTACGAACTATTCGTTTCTGAGCAACTTTAGGTCTAGCCCTATAAGCCCTATACACCTAAACGTGTGGGAAGGGGTCCATTGCATTTTAAATTTTTTGTTTGTTTCGACTGCATACCCTGGCAGTAGCAGCTGAAGCCGACAGACAGGAAAACCACCCGGGAGCCACCCGTCGTTACATCAACCAGCTTGGTGCAATTACGGTCATGTCCGATGTGAGATTAAGATGATCTTTAAATGAACAATGAACACTGATATACTATCTATAACAGGAAGAAATGGTTCGTGTGCCGACATTTCTTTCTTCCTCTGGTTCGCTATCCACACTTTTTTTTTTCTTCTAGCTGTCACAACATTGTTTAGGTGACTACGTTACATCGCGGCTAGAAGCTCGCATTTAAATTCCAAGTTTGTGTGTTTAAATCCGCATCAAGTTGGATTTGTAAAAAAAAAAATGACTTTGGTTCCCACGTCGACATAATCTAAATAGGTACACGGCGAAGTCATGAAAGTGATAGGCAGCCGGCGTGACATTACTGCATCATCTATCAAGTGCTGATTGGTCTATAATATATTGTAGAAGTAAAGGACCCATTTTCCGTCAGTGGTGCGTCGGGCATACCAGGTTAGGCTCATATATTCTCCCCCCCCCCCACCCCCCCCAACTTATACTTCATGATTTTATGCTGACCTTAGGGGTTTATTTTAAAGCTTTTTTTGTGTGTGTTGTTTTTGAGTTCTCAAGTCATAGTTTGTGTTGTATTTAGCACTCCATTGGTGAAGACTTTGCCCGAAAGGTTCGGTTGTATCTGTGCGCATCTTTTCCATTTCCGCCGTTGAGCTTTCTAGTCACTTTTTACGTCATTTAGAACTGCCTACAGTTACGTACATTTTTGTTGAACTAATATTATTATTTATAATTGTTAACTGCATTCAGCTACACGATATCATCATTATTATCATCATTATCATCATCATTATCATCATCATCATCACCACCATCATCATCACCACCACCATCACCGTCATCATCATCATCATCACCACCATCATCACCATCACCATCATCATCATTATCATCATTATCATCATCATCATCATCACCACCATCATCACCACCACCACCATCACCACCACCATCCACATCCTCACATCACCACCATCATCATCATCATCATCATCACCATATCACCATCATCATCATCATCATCATCATCATCACACCATATCATCATCACCATCATCATCATCATTATCTCATCATCATCATCATCATCTTCACCATCTCACATATCATCATCATCATCACCATCACTACTATCATCATCATCATCACTACTATCATTACCACAATTATCATCATCACCATCACAACCACCACCATTATCATCACTACCATCATCATCATCATTACCACCACCATCATCATCACAACCATCATCATCATCATTACCGCCACCATTATCATCACTACCACTATCACGAAACAAACATCATCATTACCACCACCATCATCATCACTACTACTACTATCCCTAACTACTATAAACGTATACTATCACACCAGATGTTAAACCACCCCTCACGACAACACCAGATGTTAAACCACCCCTCACGACAACACCAGATTTTAAACCACCCCTCACGACAACACAAGATGTTAAACCACCCCTCACGACAACACTAGATGTTAAACCACCCCTCACGACAACACCAGATGTTAAACAACCCCTCACGACAACACCAGATGTTAAAACACCCCTCACGACAACACCAGATGTTAAACCACCCCTCACGACAACACTAGATGTTAAACCACCCCTCACGGCAAAAAAGACGCTAAACCACTCCTCACGACAATACCAGACGTTAAACCACTCCATACGACAACACAAGGCGTTAATCCACTCCTCACGACAACACCAGACGTTAAGCCACTCCTCACGACAACACCAAACGTTAAACCGGACACTTACACATTTCATGCTGTCGCCATGAACCTCTGGAACGACGACTTCCATCACGTAAGGTTTCGGACCTATGCTCTCGTATCTAGCCACAAGCCTGTCTCCTTCTGGAAGCACCATTCCCTTTTTTAAGTAAAGTAAATGACCGTTTTTACGCCTTTATGCTTTATGGACATATAGGGCTAGATATTTTTTTAAAGACTAATCGACACTGTGTGGGTCATGAGGTCAGTATCACTCTTGCCGCCTTTACTTCCTATGAATTGTATCTGGTACCCACTCAAGGCTGGGTTGACTTGGGAGTCAAGACAATTTTTTTCAAAGACTGGTTCTGTCAGGATCCAAACTCACGACCTTCCGGTCTTCAGGCGAACACCACGGCGAATCGATGTTAAGGTTGTGTGTGTGTGTGTGCATGTGTGTGTGTATGTGTGTCCTGTCCATCAAGATGATGATGACCACTCTTTTTCATCAAGTATGAGTAACATATATGAGATGGTTATAAAAGAGTGACTTGCGCGATGACTTAGATTAAAGCGAGGAAGAGTTGCGCAGTGTCGTCGACCTCACTCTCTCGCCTGAGTCATATCTGGGTTCAGTGGCAAGACAGAGTCAGGAGGACTGGAGATATGTCTAGGTGCAGTGGATGACCAGGGCGTTCTACATGCCTCGTCATGCTCTATGCGCTCCAGAGCGCTTTGCTAGTGTCGCCGTCTTGCCCGTTGAACCAAATATGGTTTCCTCCGCGCATTCTCCGCGTAGTCTGTGAATGCTTGGATAGGCAGATCCTATTTCACCGATGGAAAGCAGCATCGGCTGCTCTCACCTGGTTTTGCCGGCCTGTCAAATCCGTTACACGATTGGGGGGGAGGGGGGGGGGGGGGGGGCAGCTGTCACATGCTGACAGCTATGTGGAGCCACAGGTGAGAGCTGAGTGTCCGTTTTGGACCAAAGGTTATCAAGCTGTCCTAAAAAGGACATGTTAGGGTAAGTGTCACAGGTCAAGTCCCTGTCAACACCTTTGACGCGAAACTTACATTTGCATAAATCAACTAGATTTAATTTCTCGCGGTAGAGAAACAGCATTTTATTCTACCGTCCTCTACTTCATCTTTCTCTCTCCCGCTGACGTATGTTTGGTCACTGCTCCAAGGCTGCTCCTCTGGCTGTAACTGCCATCTGGACCGTTCCGCAAACTAGTCAGATGAAACTGAAAGCCCAGCGCTATCATGCACCTACGCAGTCAAAATCACGACTTGCGGGCCGTTTACGCATTATTTGATGTTTCCTTGACGCGTTTTTGTACTTATCTGGGTCAGAGTGCGTCAGGTTATATTGGTTTAGGTTTCAGGTTAGGGTTTTTTCTTCTTCATCATACTCTTCTTAATATTATTTATAATACTATTATTAATATTATTCTTATTTTTATTATCCCTCTTCAGATACCAGAGTCCTTACAGGATCTTGAATCTATCGGAGTCACCCTCGGATAGAGACCATCCTCCGGACCTGGGACATCAACACTTGACCAGCACTCCGTCCTCTCTCTCTCTCTCTCTCTCTCTCTCTCTCTCTCTCTCTCTCTCTCTCTCTCTCCAGGAGGTCTCGCGAGGGGTTAGGCCGTGTTTTTGGTGCTCTGAAGGTTGCTAGTTCTGTAATAGAAGCGAAGACTGGGGCCGGGGGGGGGGGGGGATTTTGTTGTATAAAGGAAAATGAAGAGAATTCTAATGTAAAGGGATGTTTAGGAAAATTTACTCTTTGAAGCTATATCGACTCCAAACCTACAAGAGCTCCAACAGTGTCTTGGCCTATAGAAACAACCAACCTTAAGCTGCCTCAAGAATAACAAAACAAAAGAGAAAAAAGTTCATTAGGCGGGTACTCAACCAGAAGTATTCTAGCCCAGACAAGAAATTGTTTGTGCAAAATATATCTAGCAATACAAGTTAAACTAGACATCACCAAATACAAGTCCTGACTCTTATCCAAGATAACTGGAATTATAATTATCACATTGAACATATATTTTTTGTACTCAATCACAAACTTAGCGCTGTTTACAAAAAAAAAAAAAAACGTTAACATCTAACATTGTGACCAGACACACCACGTGCTCCAACAGAATCCAAAGTGCTAATCATCTCCACTAACATGGAAATATGATACTGAACACATACGTTCAGAACAAACACACCAATGGTGGCAAACGTCGAAACATATTAACCTGTACGTTAAGCTTCAATATACTACCAGATCGGTAAGTCATCTCCAGCGATATGCGATAAAAATATCTCCAAACGAAGATGCACAATATAATTCTAGGCCTAGCACACAATAGTGGTAAGAATATAAAACAAATAATATGATAAGCAATACTGAAAAGACATAATGTATTTTACTCAACAGTAGATTAATATACCTATCCACTGAATTCAACAAAGACACGAGAAGAAAGAAGACCGTATGTAGACTCACTTGACAGATAAGGCTAAACTAACACATTTAAGAGAGGCAAAAAGGTTAGTTGTGTATCCTTTACAGGACGTTGCAGAACTAACTCCAGCAGCCCCTGGCTGTTGTGTGATTCCGGTAGGCAAATATACGTCCAGTAGTTTGCAACTGATCCTGAACGGTCGGCTCCCTGATACCACTGTCAAAACCAACCAAAGCGCAAGGCCCGCAGCTGGGATCCAAGCCGGCAGACCGGCATTACGAAGCGTTCGCATCGAGTTAGCCACAGAGAAGAGAGGCAAAGCATAAACGAAATACATTCCAGTCCATCGATGTTGCAAGTCATCTCATGTGAAACTCCCATCCCTTCTTTGTTTTGGAAAAATAATTAAAAAAATATCACACTACAACAAGAGATTACCTTTAGGGGTGTCCCGTCCATATTGCTGGAGTAGTGTGGTTGTCCAAACCTGAATGTGTAGCTTGGGATTTGGGGTGCTTCAGCAGATCCGATTTGTAAAGTCCACGTGTCACCGTTTCTGGCGAACCCTAGTACTGATGTGCTGTTTTCAAAAAAGGCCTTAGATTCTGCAGAAAGGTCTGGAAAAAAAATTTATGTCATTTTTTTTCTTCTTCTTTAACTCTTTCAGCTGAAAATAGAGAAACATTCACCTATTAGTAGAATGTTGCAGATTAAATTTATAAATTTACGTCTGAAACAAAAAGTCATTGCTGATCCCAAACCAGAGTCAGAGAAAGGAGATGGGTTGGGCGTGAGGCCACCTTGCCCACACTGTAAAAAAAAAATAATTGCAATGAAAACGTGCATAAAAATACCTAAGGAAAAAAAATAAAATAAATAGGATGAATTCCAAAGGAGTAAAGAAATAAGAGAAATGTATGGGCTATCAACAGCTATAGGTAAGAGAAAATAGTACCGTCTTGGATATATCATGAAAAGAAACCATCAGAAAATACTCAGACAGTCATTGTCGTGGGAAGTAAATGGATTACGCCCAAGGATGCCCAAAAGAAACCATAAAAGGAACGTTGATGAGAGAAGCTAAAGCCGCTGGACTGAATCCATCCATGATATCGAACTACTTGAACAGATCAGAACAGAATAGAGAATAGATTGCCAGCGCTTCTTCTTTTTCTCACCCCCCTCGAACCTCGGCGAAGCGTCTGGGAACATTCATTGATGAGCTCTGTCAAAAGCACTATTAGGACTGATGTTCATTTCTGTAAGGCTGTTCTTAATGCCATCACTCCATATTTCCGAGGTCTTCCCCTCGCTCTATACCCGTCGTAACGTTTCAGTGTGGCTCGCTGTGGTAGATAGAAACAGTGCATTCTTGTTAGATGTCAAAACTACTTCATCTGTTGTTCTTTGATAACCTGTAAGACTGGCTTTATTTCTAACATGCGTCTAATTTCGTATTCTGTCTTTCCTTGAAACTCCTGCAGCTCTTCTAGGGCATTTAATCTCTGTTGTCAAAATTTTACGTTAATGGGAGGATGTAAGTGTCCACGTTTGGCACTGATAGCATAGTGTTGGCCAAAAAATAGTTCTGATAAGATTCACTTTAGCACTCCGGGGTATCTGCTTGTATGTCAACAGTTGAGATAGTTACCCTATTACTTGATTAGCTTTGGTAGACCTCGAGCTAATTTCTCTGCCCAGTTTTCCATTTGATCTGAAAATTGCTCCTAAATACTTAAATTTCTCTCTCTTAAGGCGTTGCTTTTTTAATGTTATTTCTAAATTGTCTTTCTGTCTTCCTATCACAATTATCTCTGTCTTCCTAGTTTTTATTCTCATATTATATATTTCCCCTTTGTTATTAATTTGATTTTGGTGATTCTGTAGGCATTAAATATGTTCTGCTCTGAGTACCTGGATATCGCCGAATAGTAATTCTCTAATATCTTCTTCATGATTAAAGTTTATTTCCTTACATATAGTATCCATGTATGTGATAAAAAGCAGTGGCGATAGTACACAGCCCTGGCACACACCAGAGTTCACTATAAAAGTATTTGTTGACTGTCTGTGGCTCGACCTGGCAACTTTACATTCAATAATCTAACACTGGTCTGAACATCAAGGAAGATTGGCTAATAAACAGCATCCTGTCTCAGAAGCTGAAATATTTTGGTCATATCAAGTGCCAGGACGGATTGGAAAAAATTATAGCCAAAGGCATAGTACCAGGAAGGAGGAGCAGGAGCCGACCGACACGAAGATGGGCATAGGATATAAGTGACTCCTTGAGTATAAAAGTACATGAGGCGGGAGAACTGACGAGAGACCGAGTTTCTTTCAAGCAGACCGTCATGAGAGCGACGTTCTGCAAAAGACCTGCTACATGATGATGATGAATTTACCAATGTATCCTGAACGGCGCGGTGCTAGTAGTGAAAACATGCAAACAGTCATTCTTTCTTCGCGAGAGGCAGCATCTTTATCAGCACCGGACTGCAGCAGCAGCTGGTGTGACCATTCCGTGTGCCCTCATTATAGTGTGGCTTATCATTTAATTTCCCAGTTTTTAAATACAGTGATATATCGGGCCACGTACACCTCTGTAGTGCCTTTTAAAACTCACGCCATCACACTTGAACTCTTTTAGTCCCAAGCGAACGCATCATACGTTCATTGGTTCCTACTCATAAGCCCAATTAACGCAAGACCTGTCGATTTTAGTCTATCTTGACTACTCAATGGGTCTCTGATGCTAACCCCCCCCCCCCCCTTTTTTTTTCCCGACTCAAAGAGTTGATTAATATCTCGAAAACTCCTATACAGGTCAACACGAATTTTTGCGTGTGGTCTTAGATTTCTCGTTCATGTGACCTTTAATTTACAATTGCCTAAATGCTGCTGCTTTCCGAAAGCGGCAAATATATCTTGGAATATTTTTGACTAATAATTTCTCTATATGAGAAAAAAAAAATATAACATCCATTAACTAACACACGCCCGGAGATTGTTCGAAAATTAGTTTAGATGTGTAGCGATTCATGGTGATTCTTTTGATAATCGATTACCCCACTCAGTAAAAACTCTGCAGCGCACAGCAATGTTGCTAGGCTGGGGGTGACCACCTGAAAGTGAAACGCCTGCCAATGGATGTTTTCAAAACGTCCCCCTGCACAGTTTACTAGTTACTGATTGCTTTGAAACAGGGTCATGTTTTTTTTTCTTCTTATATCAGCAAATAAACCAAAATGAAAGCTTGATGTTTGTTCACATTAACAAAAAACTTCGTTATTTCGTAATATCCTACCCCAGATGACGATATATATATATATATATATATATATATATATATATATATATATATATATATATATATATATTTAACACGCCTTCAGGCGTATTGGATGTATATTGCTATACCTTTACAAATGGGACTACTTATTAATCAAGATAAGGCAGCATACATGATAATAACTAGATAAGAAAAGTATATAAACTCCTGCCACATACAAGTAGATAATATGAAAATCAAACGAACGGAAACGTTAAAGTTCTTGGCTGCAAACTTCAACTGCTCCAACATGTAGAGAGAAGAAATACAATTTAGAATACAATTTGGAAATAAAGTATACTATGCCCTTCAACATCTGCTAAAGTCACAGTGTCTGTCTCGAAACACCAAGATCAAAATATGTAAAACTTTAATAAGACCAGTCGTGTTATATGGCTCTGAAACTTGAAGCACAACTAAAAGAAATGAAGCCTTATTACACGTTTTCGACGAATCTTTAACCCATCAAGGATGCAAACAGCGGTGAATGGAGAGTGAGAAGAAACAACGAAATTCATAATCTGTTAAAATCACCACTGATCACTGGCATCATGAGAGCTAATAGACTGAAATGGTTAGGACATTGAATTTCAATCAGATGACAGAGAAGTAAAAACTGGAGTCGGGTGATATCTCCAGCAATGAACCTCAAGGGATCGGAATGCTGAAGAAGAAGAAGAAGATAGGGTTATACATATATTTGTATAGACCAGTAGGCATTCAGTGGGTGATATGGTCGACACTTTACTTCACTTGACTTACCTGGTAGCGACTTAAGGCTTGGTCGATCTGAGAACCAAAGTGATTTTTAAAAAAATGTCCAGGGCCTGAACCCACGGCCTTCGGTTGAGCAGGTTTTTAGTTACCACAACTCTGTGGCCCCTAGAATGTTTAGTTACCACAACTCTGTGGCCCCTAGAATGTTTAGTTACCATAACTCTGTGTCTCCCAGAATGTTTAGTTACCACAACTCTGTGGCCCCTAGAATGTTTAGTTACCACAACCATGTGGCCCCCAGAATGTTTAGTTACCACAACTCTGTGGCCCCCAAAATGTTTAGTTAGCACAACTCTGTGGCCCCCAGAATGTTTAAATACCACAACTCTGTGGCCCCAAGAATGTTTAGTTACCACAACTCTGTGGCCCCTAGAATGTATAGTTACGACAACTCTGTGTTCCCCAGAATGTTTAGTTACCACAGCTCTGTGCCAGCTAGAATGTTTAGTTACCATAACTCTGTGGTCCCCAGAATGTTTAGTTACCACAGTTCTGTGGCCCCCTGAATGTTTAGTTACCACAGCTCTGTGGCTCCCAAAATGTTTAGTTACCACAACTCTGTGTCTCCCAGAATGTTTAGTTACCACAACTCTGTGGCGACTAGAATGTTTTGTTACCACAACTCTGTGGCACCCAGAATGTTTAGTTACCACAACTCTGTGTCGCCCCCAAAATGTTTAGTTACCATAACTCTGTATTTCCCAGAATGTTTAGTTACCTCAACTCTGTGGCCCCCAGAATGTTTAGTTACCACCACTCTGTGTCCCCCAGAATGTTTAGTTACCACAACTCTGTGGCCCCTAGAATGTTTAGTTACCACAGCTCTGTGGTCCCCAGAATGTTTAGTTACCACAACTCTGTGTCTTCCAAAATTTTAAGTTGCCACAACTCTGTGGCCCCCAGAATGTTTAGTTACCACAACTCTGTGGCTCCCAGAATGTTTAGTTACCACAACTCTGTGACCCCAGAATGTTTAGTTACCACAACTCTGTATCTCACAGAATGTTTAGTTACCACAGCTGTGCGACTCTCAAAATATTTAGTTAAACCAGGTGTGTGCCTCCCAGAATGTTTAGTTACCTCAACTCTGTGGCCCCCAGAATGTTTAGTTACCACCACTCTGTGCCTCCCAGAATGTTTAGTTACCTCAACTCTGTGGCCCCCAGAATGTTTAGTTACCACCACTCTGTGCCTCCCAGAATGTTTAGTTACCTCAACTCTGTGCCTCCCAGAATGTTTAGTTACCACAGTTCTGTGGCCCCCTGAATGTTTAGTTACCACAGCTCTGTGGCTCCCAGAATGTTTAGTTACCACAGTTCTGTGGCCCCCTGAATGTTTAGTTACCACAGTTCTGTGGCCCCCTGAATGTTTAGTTACCACAGCTCTGTGGCTCCCAGAATGTTTAGTTACCTCAACTCTGTGCCTCCCAGAATGTTTAGTTACCACCACTCTGTGCCTCCCAGAATGTTTAGTTACCAACATCAACGATATTCATGAGTAGAGATAGAGGCAAACAAGAAGACCGAAAGTCAGAACTACAAAAACAAGGACAGATAATGGCCAGAGAAAGATTGGTTAGTTAATTAATCTTTCCTCTTGAGCCCTGAGGGTTGGAAAAGGTGGAGGGGGTTGGGGTTGCGCTTGGTCTCGATCTATAGTGTCCGCCTAGAGTGCTAGAGGTCCCAGGGTGATGGCTGGGATGTTTTCTGTTCACGGGACTTCTAGTAATTTCCCCTGGTCTCTGGGTAGTGAGATAGGACGCCCGTGTGTATTGTTGATCACGTAGAAAATCCATCGGTAGTTGAAAATCTAAAAGAGTAGCCCAACTGGGCTGCAGTTTGGAGTTAAAAATCTACCAAAAGTATTTTAGGATCCTGGCCTGTGCTACAGAGCCTGTGCACTGTGTTGAAGTTCTTTGGATTTGAATTAGAAGAAGAACGGAGCACTTATGGGTTACTACCCGTGTGCCATGATGTTGATCCGTTGTTCAAACCTCAAACCTCCTCTTGAGCCCAGGATGGCGCATAGGGCAGAGGTCATAGCTCTCCGTGTCTTGTCGTTCGTTGCCACCTGTTTTAGGTCTTGGATGTTCATTAGGCCCATGGTTGAGTCTTCCCTGGTTATGGTTCAACGCAGGGTCTCTCTTGGCATCCCCATTTTTTTTCTTTTTTTTCTTTTTCGGTGTCGAAATAGGGATATGATGGAGGCGTCTGGACTTATCCATTCTGAGTGCATGGCCGATGTAGAGAACGATACATTGATATAAAAACAACTTACCCATGGCTCTTGCTACAGAATCAAATCCTACTCTCTTGACTTCTACCCACTTTCCAAGAACCTTGTCCAGTGCTGAAGATTGTTCTTAACGTGAAAAAATTAGGACGAGACAATAAACAAGATGCAGTAATTACAAGTAACCTTAATACAAGGTCCGACAATTAAGTAACCAGACTGAATTTACTATGGCCAACATAAAAATGCCATCTACAAAGCAAAACAAGGATTCCAAACATATCGTATCGTATAAAATCAAACAAAAATTCCAAGCTTAGTCCTTTTTTAGCCGCCTGATGGCCTGCTTTTTCCTTTGCTATCTTATTTATTTAAAAGGCAACCTTCGCTTATGATCTGACAACTTTTCATCGCCACCCCATAGCAGAAAACAAACAAGCCGCCATTTTGTTGACCTAGTCAAAGGGTCATTGTTACGTAATCAGCACAGAGAAAAAAGCTAACATTAAATACTTTTCTAAAACTCAGTAAAAGCGCCATTGAAACAGTTGAATTGATGCGGCAAGTTTATAGTGATAATTATTATCTCGTGCACAAAATTGCTGGTGGTATTCACCATTCAAAAGTGGTGTGAAAATGATTACTTAGTATATCTTCAACTGTTGATTATTTTAATTTTAATGGAATTAGTCTCAGTACCTAATTGTCGGACCTTGTCAAAACAACATAAATTATGCAGATGACACAGTACTGACAGCTGGAAAAAAAAGCAAATGTCCAACGATAATTATTGGACATTGTACAGAGGGAGAGTGCAAAAACAATAAATCTGTCTTTCATTATAAAGAAAAGGAAGATAATGGTTATTTCACAGAAAAGAATACCACCACAGTGTGATTTTAGAATAGAAGGTAAAAAATTGATACAAGTCGATTAACTCAAATATATGAGTACAGTCATAACATCAGAAGAATTGTATTATAAATTAAGAGCACAATAGGTCAGGCTAAGGCTGCATTTCACAAAATAAAGAACATCTTGTGCAACAGGTCCCTCTGTTTGGATGTCTGAAAGGGTACTAATATGTTTTGCAAAACGAATGTTAAGAATCCCTTGGACTGACAAACTAAAGAAGATTGCTCTTGATAAACTATTGAAAAAAAGGGATAAATATACACAGTTAGAAGGACAAGACAAGTACTGTTTTTTGTGTCGTGTGTGTGTGTGTGTGTGTTTGTGCGTGCGTGTGTGTGTGTGTGCGTGCGTGTGTGCGTGCGTGTGTGCGTGGGTGGGTGTGTGTGTGCGTGTGTGTGTGCGTGTGTGCGTGTGCGTGTGTGTTTGTGCGCGTGTGTATGTGTGTGTTGTGTGTGGTGTGTGTGTGTGTGGTATGTATGTGTGGTGTGTGTGGTGTGTGTGTGTGTGGTGTGTGTGTGTGTGTGGTTTGTGTGTGTGGTGTGTGTGTGTGATGTGTGTGTGCGTGTGTAGTGTGCGTGTGTGGTGTGTGTGTGTAGTGTGTGTGTATGTGTGTGTGTGGTGTGTGTGTGGTGTGTGTGTGTGGTGTGTGTGTGGTGTGTGTGTGGTGTGTGTCTGTGTGTGGTGTGTGTGTCGTGTGGTGAGTGTGGTGTGTGTCGTGTGTGTGTGTGGTTTGTGTGTGTGGTGTGTGTGTGGTTTGTGTGTGTGGTGTGTGTGTGATGTGTGTGTGCGTGTGTAGTGTGTAGTGTGCGTGTGTGGTGTGTGTAGTGTGTGTGTGGTGTGTGTGTTTGTGTGTGGTGTGTGTGTGTGTGTATTGTGTGTATTGTGTGTGGTGTCTGTGTGTGTGTGGTGTGTGTTGTGTGTGTGTGTGTGGTGTGTTTGTGGTGTGTGTGTGGTGTGTGTGTGTGTGTGTGGTGTGTGTGTGGTGTGTGTGTGATGTGTGTGGTGTGTGTGTGTGTAGTGTGTGGTGTGTGTGGGTATATTGTGTGTGTGTGTGTGTGTGGGAGGGGGGGGGGCTTGAGAATATTGTCAGGACTGCGAAGATCAACTGTAGAAGAGAGAGTAGCAGAACGAGAGAGATAATGGATGGATTGCGACGGCGGCACGGAGAGAGATGACGGATGGATTGCGACGGTGGCACGGAGAGAGATGACGGATGGATTGCGACGGCGGCACGGAGAGAGATGACAGATGGATTGCGACGGTGGCATGGAGAGAGATAACGGATGGATTGCGACGGCCGCACGGAGAGAGATGACGGATGGGTTGCGACGGTAGCATGAAGAGAGATAACGGATGGATTGCGACGGTGGCACGGAGAGAGACGACGGATGGATTGCGACGGTGGCACGGAGAGAGATGACGGATGGATTGCGACGGTGGCACAGAGAGAGATGACGGATGGATTGCGACGGCGGCACGGAGAGAGATGACGGATGGATTGCGACAGCGGCACGGAGAGAGATGACAAATGTATTGCGACGGTGGCACGGAGAGAGATGACGGATAGATTGCGACGGTGGCACGGAGAGATGATGACGGATGGATTGCGACGGTGACACGGATAGATGTTGACGGATGGATTGCGACGGTGGCACGGACAGAGATGACGGATGGATTGCGACGGTGCCACGGAGAGAGATGACGGATGGATTAAGACGGTGGCAAGGAGAGAGATGACGGATGGATTGCGACGGTAGCACGGAGAAAGTTGACAGATGGATTGCGACTGTCGCACGGAGAGAGATGGATGGATTGCGACGGTGGCACGGAGAGAGATAACGGATGGATTGTGACGGTGGCACGGAGAGAGATGACGGATGGAATGTGACGGTCGCATGGAGAGAGATAACGGATGGGTTGTGACGGTCGCATGGAGAGAGATAACGGATGGATTGCGACGGTGGCACAGAGAGATGATGACGGATGGATTGCGACGGTGGCACGGATAGATGATGACGGATGGATTGCGACGGTGGCACGGAGAGAGAAGACGGATGGATTGAGACGGTGGCAAGGAGAGAGATGACGGATGGATTGCGATGGTAGCACGGAGAAAGTTGACAGATGGATTGCGACGGTCAAACGGAGAGAGATGGATGGATTGCGACGGTGGCACGGAGAGAGATAACGGAGGGATTGTGACGGTGGCACGGAGAGAGATAACGGATGGAATGTGACGGTGGCACGGAGAGAGAAGACGGATGGATTGCGACGGTGGCACGGAGAGATGATGACGGATGGATTGCGACGATGGCACAAAGAGAGATGACGGATGGATTGCGATTGCGGCACGGAGAGAGATGACGGATGGATTGCGACGGTTGCACGGAGAGAGATAACGAATGGATTGCGACGGTGGCACGGAGAGAGATAAGGGATGGATTTCGACGTCGGCACGGAGAGAGATGACAGATGGATTGCGACGGCGGCACATAGAGATGATGACGGATGGATTTTGACGGCGGCACGGAGAGATGATGACGGATGGATTGCGACGGTGGCACGGAGAGATGATGACGTATGGATTGCGACGGTAGTACGGAGAGAGTTTGCGGATGGATTGCGACGGTGGCACGGAGAGAGATGACGGATGGATTGCGACGGTGGCACGGAGAGAGATAACGGATGGATTGTGACGGTAGCACGGAGAAAGATAACGGATGGAATGCCACGGTGGCACGGAGAGAGATAACGGATGGATTGCGACGGTAACACGGAGTGAGATGATGGATGGATTGCGACGGTGGCACGGAGAGAGATGACGTATGGATTGCGACGGTGGCACGGAGAGAGAAAACGGATGGATTGCGACGGCGGCACGGACAGAGATGACGGATGGATTGCGACGGCGGCACGGAGAGAGATGACGGATAGATTGCGACGGTGGCACGGAGAGAGATGACGGATCGATTGTGACAGTGTCACGGAGAGAGATAACGGATGGATTGTGACGGTGGCACGGAGAGAGTTAACGGATGGATTGTGACGGTCGCATGGAGAGAGATAACGGATAGATTGCGACGGTGGCACGGAGAGATGATGACTGATGGATTGCGACGGTGGCACGAAGAGAGATGACAAATGGATTGCGACGGTGCCACGGAGAGAGATGACGGATGGATTGAGACGGTGGCAAGGAGAGAGATGACGGATGGATTGCGACGGTGGCACAGAGAGAGGTGACGGATGGATTGCGACGGTGGCACGGAGAGAGATGACGGATGGATTGCGACGGTGGCACGGAGAGAGAGGACGAATGGATTGCGACGGTGGCACGGAGAGAGATGACAAATGGATTGCGACGGTGGCACGGAGAGATATCATCGATGAAAGTAATTCAGAGGACATGGGACGAGAGCTGCAAGGATGCATGAACGCCTTCGCTAGTCGGCAGGACACGTGATGGTGATGACAATACTGAAGACTAGATTTGTCTGATTGTCCCTCTGACGTTTTTTTCTTGAGTGCAACTTACACTGCCAGTTAACAATTGTGGCACCGTCGTGCCTATACATCCCCCAAGAAATAGATGTGCCTAAGTCGGCCAAGGGTGAATGAATATAGTTCGTAGCTCTCTTCAATCGTACTCAAGAACAAGGCCAGTGATGTAATCAATTACACAAGAGCTGGTTTATTTACAATATTCTCGTCACACTGACTTCATAAATTCAATAAGCAATAGTATATGAACACTCCTTATTACTGGCTATTCGTATGCCTCTACGAGTTCCTTAACCACTGTTATGGCTAAACTCCAAGTTTAACATATACCTTCTAAACGAAGTAAAGCACTAGTTTTCTCCTAACCGGTCTTTCCAGCAGTTCAGCCCTAACCTGTCCTATCAAGCGGTCCCGGGGCTAACTCACTGTTCTAGCTAAACTCCAAGTTTAACATATACCTTCTAAACCAAGTAAAGCACTAGTTTTCTCCTAACCGGTTTCTCTAGCGATCCAGCCCTAACTGTCCTCTCAAGCGGTTCCGGGGCTAACTTTATTCCCCCGCTTTCCCGCTCTTTCTGGCGTACCTTCTCCATCACTTCTCTGTCACCTGTCTTTGGTGGTAACGTTTGGATAAACGTATCTCATCAGCTGGTCACAGCTCACGGGCACTCGTCGAATGTTTCATCCCTCACTGTCAGATGTCATGGCGGTGTGTTCTGCATAGCTGGCTAGGCCATGGCTTTGTAATCACCCATTTCTGTCATTTCACACAGTGATGGATTAGTACGCCGTGTGGTGGTCTGAAATGTATGCTTGTTCATTTAACCCCTTTCTGCCTATATTTCATTACATTCGCCCTACACATTTTTAACAAAATTGTTTCCTATCTTCAATTTTATAAAAACTACTCTAATTATACCCGCTACCTAACTAAACCTTATGTGAACATCTAGCCACGTAATGAAAGCATACAACATAACATGTAACATCATAAAATTCATGCAGTATAATGAAAACTTGACATGCATACAATAACTAATAGTCAATAATTCTAAAGACATAAAAAAAAAACGATACAACTCCCTCGTTGTATTAGCATAACAACCTCTTATTCACTGGTATCCCTAATGAATGTGCGGAGTCGTCTGAAGTATAAAGGAATAGTATCTGTATTCCTCCTTTATAAACTCAAACCTGAAAACATTGTATACAAGAAATGACATGCCATGTATCCCCAGTTATCAATAAAATAAAACTCGAAAATGTCATCTCCCCAAGAAAGGATGAAAATAGAATCTCTGAGAAAGTCAACATAGACTGAATAATAAGGTATAACCTTTACAGAGTATAAATAATTCTTATACCGTTAGGTATATTAATTGGAGAGAAATTTCTCGGAAACAATAGTAGCATTTCCTCAAGACGAATGTACAATGCCACCACCTGTATTTACAGGCATTTATCTACTGTGATAGTCCACAGCGTTTATTGTTGCTTCCCTAAGAGGTTGCTTCCTCTGTTTAATGCATATCGCATCTTCTGTAAAGAAATAGCCGGCCTATATTCAGTCACCAATCATGTCATGCTTTGGACTGGCTTATCGCCAAGTACGTTTCTAACTGTGTACCTCAGTAAAGTCTGGTTAAACTCAAATCAGTCGTCATTCTGACAGAATGTATAAGAGAGGTTTTGTGGCCAGTAACTCTCTTAGCGAACATAAAACATGTAGGTATTGTAATCTTCACCCACAACCGAACGTGTGGATTTTCACTTGTCCGGGAGAGTACCACACGACCAAAAAAAAAAACGTTCATAGTGCAAAACCGCATGTAAATATTAAATGGTAGGGACAAAACAACAGGTATATATTTAATATTGTCGGACAAATGACATGTAGACACAACAACAGAATATGTGTAGCGAGCGCGGTACCTCTGTACACAGCAATATAGCGTACGTAAATTGTAATTAATAAAACTAATTACTTGTTATACACCCTACAATCCCACATTTATTGAACCATTTTACGAACGATCCCATTTCAGTCAGTCATGGGGGAAGAAAGGGTGGGGTGGGGGGGGGGGGGCTGTAATTAATGTATGGTTTACTCAGGGTATAAATTCAGTCTACCCCCCTGGTGATTCTGGCCTTACTAACTGTAGTGGATGCTAACTGTTCTAGTTCTATTTCTTCTTCTGTCTTATTAGTGATCTGTGTTTTTTCTTTTGTTAAATGAAAAGTTAGCAATACATCGGAACATCTTATTAATTTTGCTATCTTCTGTTGATGTGACTTTGTTACACCTCTTCTGGCTGCTTTTATTTCTGCGTAACTGTCCTTCTAATATATTAACTTTGCTTGTGTCTATGGTTCCCTGTAGACATTCTTGCTTCGTCAAATCGGTATGACCTGTATTAATAGTACTAATGCTGTCTCTCAGTCCTCGCTTTTTGTTGTGAAAACTGTTGTCTGTGTTCTCTCTGTTTTCCGTATGTCTATTTTTACAGCGTACCTGTACCGCGTTCAATCGTGCCTCTCTCTTTCTATGCGGAGGGTTGCAGTCATCCTGACTGGATGATGTATGCCCTCGGTTTCTCTTTCCTCTTCTGGGCTCGGCCATGTCCTGATCTGTTTCATAATCGCCTGCGTTTCCACAACTATCTGTGTCGCTTCTCATCTCCTCTGAGCTTTCTGACGCTTCAGTAGACTCTGCCTCAAGTAATAATGCCCTACGTTCTCTCTCTCTGACATAATTTTCTGTCTTTCAAAAATCGGCACATTTCCTTCGCTAGATGAAGCGGAGCGTTCTTTACACGCTCGCCTAATTTCCTTCTCTTCTTCTATGTTAATGTTTCTTTTCGTTGCTGCTCTAGTATGCCTAAACGGGGCGTCTGTAAAATCGGCGATATCTGACTCATTAACTGTTGAACCCTCCTCACTCTCCGACCCGTTCGTCGGTGCCGGTTCTACTTCTGCAGTCGTTACGTGTCCCTCTGTGCATGTTCCCTTGTTTGCTATGTCACTTTCGTTTTCGGTACTCATTTGACTGTCAGTGTCAGTCTCTGGCGGACATGCTAAAGTAGTTCTCCTGTGTGTATCCTATTCTACCTGTTGCGGACACTCTGTGTTTAGCGTGTCATTGTATTTAAGATGACCGACATGAACTCGGGCGGTGTGTCCTGTTAGTTGGTTTTTAATAAGGTAGGTTACCGGCCCTAGACGTTCTAACACGAAGTATACGGCCGTCCACCGGTTGTCAAACTTAGATTCTCTTACATGTTTTTTGAAAAATACGTTATCTCTGACATTAAACTCTGCTAACACAACATTTTTGTCTGCGTACTGTTTACGTTTGTCAAACGCTTTTTTAACATTCCTCCGTACTTTCACGTGAGCCTTATGCATTTCCTGTAATACTATCTCATAAAAATCTTCACCCATGTACTTTCTTCGGGGTTTAAGCAAGTTATCAAGTGGCAGTAATGGCTGTCGACCATGCAGTAAAAAATATGGTGAATGTTTAGTGCTCTCATTTATATTTGTTCATATGGCACCTAACGCTTGATTTAAAAAAAGATCCCAGTCTCTCTTGTTGTCATCTACGTGTTTTGCAATAATATCATAAATGGTGCGATGTTGGCGTTCATTCTTGCCATTACTATTTGGGTGGTAAATTGAAGTTTTAATATGATTAATATTCATCTCCTTCATTACTCTCTCAAATTTGTGAGAAGCAAATTCACCGCCATTGTCTAAGATTAGAACTTGACAAGTACCAAATCGCGACACGAATTCCTGAAGAAAGAGTCTTATTACTGTATCTGTTGTCTTATCCGGTATTGGGTACGCCTCTGGCCAGGAACTATAGTAGTCGACAATGTGTAGAATATACCTGTTACCAGATAAGGTTCTAGGGTGTGGTCCTGAAATATCTAAGCTAATCTTTTGCATGGGGAACAGGGACTGGTCTGGTTCCTGCATGGGACATTTAATGGCCTTCATATTCCTTAGTTTGCAAGTTTCACAATTACTCACATGTTCGTATACCCTGCGGTATAGATCTGGAAAATAATATTTCGTTCTAATAGCATCGTAAGTGCGATCTATTCCCAAGTGGCCATTGTCATTATGATACTGGTTCAGCACTCTCAAGTATAGATGCCTGGGGATATATTTCCTTAAAATCGGGTCATCTTCCTTATTTGTTATATAATATAACTGTCCATCCTCTGATTTACAATATTCTCGTCACACTGACTTCATAAATTCAATAAGCAATAGTATATTAACACTCCTTATTACTGGCTATTCGTATGCCTCTACGAGTTCCTTAACCACTGTTATGGTTAAACTCCAAGTTTAACATATACCTTCTAAACGAAGTAAAGCACTAGTTTTCTCCTAACCGGTCTTTCCAGCGGTTCAGCCCTAACCTGTCCTATCAAGCGGTCCCGGGGCTAACTCACTGTTCTAGCTAAATCCAAGTTTAACATATACCTTCTAAACCAAGTAAAGCACTAGTTTTCTCCTAACCGGTTTCTCTAGCGATCCAGCCCTAACTGTCCTCTCAAGCGGTTCCGGGGCTAACTTTATTTCCCCGCTTTCCCGCTCTTTCTGGCGTACCTTCTCCATCACTTCTCTGTCACCTGTCTTTGGTGGTCACGTTTGGATGAACGTATCTCATCAGCTAGTCACAGCTCACGGGCACTCGTCGAATGTTTCATCCCTCACTGTCAGATGTCATGGCGGTGTGTTCTGCATAGCTGGCTAGGCCATGGCTTTCTAATCACCCATTTCTGTCATTTCACACAGTGATGGATTAGTACGCCGTGTGGTGGTCTGAAATGTATGCTTGTTCATTTCACCCCTTTCTGCCTATATTTCATTACACAATTAGTTTTGTAAAGAAAAGAAAAGGATTGCTTTCCACGTCAGCAGGGTGGGTACATAGTGCTTAACTTTCATTTTATAGACCTGTCGAGTCTAGCAGCGATGCGGTCAACACGACCAGACCGCGTTTACTTCCCACGACGTTTACCTGGTATTAGTTTTAATCTAAATCGACGAGGGAGTCAATGTTTGTTGTGTATTGCATTTTTTTTTAGCGACTTTTATTTCGACAATAACTAAACTTACCACTGCATTGATCCATGATTAGGGATTGTTGTTTGTTCCAGTGGTTTACCGGTTCGTTTTGCGTCTCCCTGTGTAGGAGAGTTGAATCAAATTCTCGTCAAGAAACCTGAAGTAAACAAAGATAGATTTCAGCCAAGGGCAGACGACTTGTGTAACTTGTTATCCACTTGCTACTTGTTACAACGTTGTGAGGGCCCTCTGGGAGCGAGGGAACAGTGCGGAAGCAAAAATAGATCGTTACGGTCTGAGGAAAATGGCGCTGCGAGGAGTTAGTAACCAGGGGACCTGACCGACGCTCAACACTCAAGGGAAAGGTGAGACGGATATACAATCAGACAGCTGCTAGTGCAATCGGAATTGGAACTCTTCGTTTACTGCTGAAGATAGGGGCGGAACGCTTATGGGGGGTGCTATGATATAGATTCTTAACTCAACATTCAACGTTCACCATATTTTTTGTTACTTGTTATCCGTTTCGACATTCCAGCACATCAGTCCGGCTCATTCATTCTCCAAAACTCCACTTCGGTAGCTTCACTTTCACTGTAACCAGTAGTCTGGTAGTCTGGTAGTCTTAGTTTCAGCGTCATAGCAAACGGATCGCCCCATCTTTGCTCCGCTCCTGTGCCAGCGAAAAACACCCAGAATGTTTATCACAGTCCCTTGTGGAAAGATTGACAGACTGCTGTCTCAGCATATCTAGCATACACTCGCATTAACGCATATGGTAGCCATCCGAAGTGCTAACACAAACAGTCCAACATTAGAAATGCAGTTCATCATTGATGATAGTAGAACTTGTCGCCAGCAGATCAGCAGTTGCCCGCGCCATCAATTTTAATACGGGTTCCGCCAGCATTGCACGACCGGCATCGCGCCATTTTCTGAATCTACAATTCACACCACGTTGGTCACAGTCGAAAAAACATTCCAAATGCAATCCGCAGCTCACAGGGTCACGCCATGCATTCAACTCAGAAGCTGGGCAACGAAACTATATCCAGTCTACAAATGGAGCAAAAATACTTCGGTCACTGTCCGGCAGAAGCAAAAAATTTGCCTCCGCTCCGAACAGCGCCGCTGTCTAGCGTCCATTTTAACCAGTAGAAGTTGACCGGTGTTATCCCATTTCCAATAGACGGTTCTTCGCTGTTGACTTCTTTGTCTCAACATCAATGGAACACAGAGCATTCAGTATGACTGCCATCTCCATACTTCTTTCCCCATGAACTATCGCAGACATGGCCAGTCTGTCAGGTCTTTCCTTTCCTGTCACACCGTGAAATACGCTTTTATATTTACAAACTTGGGTAAGTTGTTTTGAAATTTTTCAATATTAAATAAATTAATTTATCCCTGCTTTCCGATCTTTCGGATCATGTGCCCTTGTTTTTGCAGTTCTCAAAGCAAGGCTCTTAGTCTGTCAGTTAGTATTTATGTGCTAGATAAAAAACTATGATATTTCATGTCTTGATTATGTCATCCTTGCATATGTCTCTATCTCTTCTGCTTGTAAACAATGCTTTTCGTCTGTATGTTTGTTTTGCTTGTTTTATTGCAGGCACATGTGTACGTATGTTGATGACACAGTGTCCCTACTTCTGCTTACAGTCTACCCTTTGTTTGTCTATTCTGAGCATGCCGTCAGTCTATGAATGCGTCTCGTTGTTAGGTACTCTGCCCGTCCAAAGTATTAGTAAAAATTTGTCTCAGAAACCGCATTTCTATTCCTTCCAAATTCTTCTTAACTTGTTCAGTGACATTCCAAGATTCGCTGCCCTACAGCAAAACAGGCTTTATGCAACATAAATCACCCTCTTTCTGACATTAAATGAGCGATTTATTGCAAAAGGTATTTTTCATTTTCTGAAATGCAGCTTTCGCTTGATCTATTCTGCTTTTAATCTCTGTCACACATTTTCCATCTAATGATATGATTGATCCCACATATTTGAATCTGAAATAAATATGATGACAAGTCACCCTTGCTTCTTAGTGTGTTAAAAGGGGAGCAGATGTGGAGCGATCATCACCTCGTAGTTGCACTACTGCTACTTAAACTTAAAAAGAGTACACAAACAAGCTTAGACACACACACACAGCACGCCACAATGTCAACCTATAGGAAGAAAAAGACATTGCTACTAAATATATAGTAGAAATCAAGAATAGATTTCAAACTCTGTCAGATGACTCAGACACTCCAGCTACAATCAGCATTCAAGACAGATGAAACCAGATTAAAGAAATATGCAAAACAACCAGCAAAAACATATTAGGAACCAGAAAACAACTCAACAAAGAAGAGATGAGAAGTCAAACCATGGACTATATTACCAAGCAAAACAGAAAAAAGAGCCTCATAAATCATACTAAATCAGAACGTCAAAAAAGACAAACTAATGTTTGAATACAGCCAACTAAATGAAATAATAAAGATAAGTACAAGAACTAACACAAGGAGATTTGTGAAAAATCTAGCAAAAACAGCAGAAAATGTTGCTATAGCACATGATCTACAAACCCTACACAAAATTACCCATCGAATCTGCTGAAGCAGAAACAATTACCACAGTATGCCTATCAGAGATAACCAAGGCACAGAGCTTACTACAGAACAAAAACAAAACATGCAGTGAACTAAACGTTTTGAAGAGACCTGATTCTGAAAACCCCTCAGATATTCAACCAGCCTCACAGGACCTGGACGTTATTGTTAAACCAGCAAGCAAACAAGAAATCCTTAAAGCTATTCACACTTTAAAGAACAACAAAGCACCAGGCAAAGACGAACTGCCAGGAGACATTCACAAAGTCGATCCCAACACAACTGCTAGCATTTTAGCACCATTGTTCAATGATATTTGGGAAAAATAAGTGTTGCCTGATGACTGGACTGAAGAAACAATAGTCAAAATCCACAAAAAAGTGAATTAAACAGAGTGCAATAATTGTAGGGGAATGTAGCTACCCTCAGTACCAAACAAATTATTTTGCAAAATCATCATAATGCGACTCGAAAAAGCAGTAGATGAGTGCCTACGAGTGGAACAAGTAGGATTTAGATGGGGCAGAGGAACAACTGAGCACATCTTCGCCATACGTAACATTTTAGAACAATGGAGTGAATGGCTGAGTAGTATATTTAATAATTTTGTGGACTGAAAAAAGTATTTGACAGCGTCCATAGAAAAAGTCTCTGGAAAATATTACGACATTATGCAATCCCCCCCAAAAAAAAAATTATAATAAAAAATAATTGCTCTCTTCTAGAAAGACTTTTTCTGCAGTATAAAAATTACAACACACCGTTTCCAGTAAAGACAGATGAAAGACAGGGATGTGTTATGTCATCTCTCCCCTTCAACATTGTAATTGATTGGATACTAAAGAACACAGTAGAGAAGACATTGAAAGGCATACGATGGACTCCATTCACCATGCTTGAGGACCTTGATTTTGCAGATGCACTCCTATCACATAAACATGAACATATAAAAGACAAAAGTAACAGACTACACAGCACAGCAGAAATGGTGTGACTGAGAATAAATACAAAGAAAACTAAGATCATGAAAAACAGTCCAGACCAACAACAGGTGACTATAAATAACCAAACATCAAAATGTAGAACAATTCACATATCTTGGCAGTGTGCTGTCCCTACTGGGAAGAACAGAGGAAGACATACAGTCACGCCTGAACACAGCTAGAGCTGCTATTGGAAGAATGAGACAAATTTGGAAACTCCGACCATCATTTTGCCAGTTCTTCTTTATGGAGCAAAATGCTGGAGAATGACCAAAAAGAATATGCACAAGCTATCCGCCATCCACCACACATATCTGCGTAGTATGTAAAAAAAATGTTTGGCCAGATACAATCTCAAACACTAAACTACTTCAAGCCACAAACAAAGAAACTAGACAGTATGATTACCAAGAGAAGATGGAAATCCACGTAATGCTAATGAATCTTGATATACCTGCTAAAAGAGATCTCACATGGACACCAGAGGTAAAGAGAAAAAAGGCGCCCGAAAACAACATGGAGACAAACGAGGGTAGTGAACTGAGTGCGGTATCTTTAACAAGGAAAACTGCACTGAAGATTGCACAGGACAGGAACGCATGGAAAGTCCTATCTGAAGCCTCATGTGCCACTAGGCATAAAGAGAACTGATGATGATGATGATGAACAAGAAGAGCGCCAGTAAATTCATACATAATATTTTACACCTTAGAACAGGACACAATCGACTTGGCAGCCACATGTACACACAATTTAAGATTGACGAATCAGCCATGTGTACATGTGGACTAGCACCTGAGACAACAGATCATGTCCTCTAAGACTGTCCCAAATACAACATATCAAGGCAAAACTGTTAGCCTTGAGAAACACCGATGCAAGCCAAACTTTACGGGTCTCTGTTTGAACAACAACAGACGGTGAAGTTCATACTAGAGACACTATTGCAGATTTAGATAATTATTTCAATCGAATGAAAGAAGAAGAAAGAAAATACAATATATTTTATGAAGCCAGCATTTGATTTGCCTGTCCCATCAACTATGCACAAATTTCGGGGGGGGGGGGCGTTAGCGCAGTCGATAAGAGGCTCGCTTTTAAATCTAGCTGCGCCTCGCTGCAGTCCACGGTCGGTGTTCGAAACCGGGCGTTCCCGGGGTTCACCCAGCCTCTAGGAAATGGGTACCAGTGTTGACACTCTGGGGTAAATGGAGGAACGTCGCTGTAGCTACAGACTTACGTGCGAACAGCGACACAGGCGGACAATTCTTATCAGCTGTCCGTACTGGTGGCAGAGCACTTATGGTTTATAATCATGTGCAATGACGCTGGTAATCTGGTAATCCTAGTTTCAGCATCATAGCAAACGGGTCACCCCATTGTTGCTCCGCTCCTGTGCCAACGAAAAACACTCGTAGCTCACAGTGTCACACCATGCACTCAACTCAGAAGCTGGGTGACGAAACTATATCCTTCCAGTCTACA